ATCTGAGGGAACCACTCTGAACTCTTTTTTATTGACATTATTCCTCTCCAGCCCACCGACTTGCGTATTCATTCCTTAAGTGACATAGGTAATCCCACAATAAACGTGAGGATCACGGTACCATTTCTGCTTCACTTGATTCACACTAAAATCCAAGGAACATTAGAAGTGCCACGCTATGTTCTCTTAGCCCTGCAAACAGGCACTGGGCATATTAAGGGAGGAGAGAATTTGCTTTGCCTTTATCAGCTGGAAATGTCAAAGCAGCTTTCCCTTTTTATGTAGGCTAAACACATTCCAGTCCCAACAAATCAACACGTCAGAAGGTTTATTATCTTGTTATCTAATTAACAAGAAATAGCACCTTCTGTGTCAAGAGTAAATTGTGCAAGTGCCATTTCCCCCCTTCACTCATTACCAAAGCTTTAGCTCACCGGGATTCACTAAGCCTTTGCCCTTTTGAGCCCGAGTTGTTCTGTTACTAATTTTCATAAAGCTACTCGGTGTAAACCGTAGCACTAACAAGGCAAGAAAACTGTGCCCCCCCTGCAAGGGCTGGGGCATGTGTCTAACAAGGCCTGCCCTCGGCTTGATCCCGTCGTCTCAGGAGCGCAGGTTGCAGTGTCTGCACCCTGCCCTTCAGTGTTCCTGGGAAGATGAAAGGTATCATTTCTGCCCTACACCAGAGGTCACGGGAATAGGAGAAATACAGCTCATAAAGAAATGCTAGGTGCCACAGATCCCGACTGTGCGCCAGCTTACCTCACTTAACATGAGGAATTAGCTGACTCTCTTAACTTGCCCATTGCAGAAGCAAAGGGCATGGATGTTGAAGTAAGGTAAGTAATGGTTCCACAGCACCTTCATCGCCTTCACTTTGCTGATGAAACAAGCTGCTCCACAAATTTAAAGTGCAGGATACCTTCCTGTCTGCGGGAGCGTGGGGAGGTTTAGATTAGGTATCAGGAAGAAGTTCTTCCCAGAGAGGGTGGTGAGGCACTGGCACAGGTTGCCCAGAGAAGCTGTGGATGCCCCATCCCTGGAAGTGTTCAAGGCCAGGCTGGATGAGGCTTTGAGCAACCTGGTCTAGTGGAAGATGTCCCTGCCCATGGCAGGGGGTTGGAACTGGATGGTCTTTAAGGTCCCTTCCAACCCAAACCACTCTATGATTCTGTGATTCCTGTATGCGGGAGAAGGGAGCGGGCTTTTTACCGGTGAGCCGGTTTGCTGGATGTCCATCCATTCAGCTAAGTAGCACAGAGTAGTGGCTGCTGCTGTGACCAGGTGGCCCAATGCTTGGAAATCCGTGTGTGAATATGGTGGTAAAACCATCCAAATTTTCTAGTGAAGCTTAAGTATAACCACGTAGATATATGTAGTGAGTGCCTGATCGTATTGTAACTGTAGATAAAACTGGGAGGCTTTTAATCATTCTTTTATTACCCTTACTGGGTGAGTCACGTGGCAAAACAACTACCATGAGCATGAGGCAGTCACTTAAAAACCAATCAGATCTGTCGCGTGCCATGGCCCAGCCAGTTTCCCTCTCTTCAGAGACATTCAGACGCTAAGCCACAGGGCAGATGCCCTCCATGATGCACCCCATAACCCTTCCAGCAGTCCATCCTACTGTGCTCACCTGACCAACGGCTCTTCCTGACTCATCCTTCAGTCCCTACAATAGAGCCAGAATGCTAGCATGCTCGTATCTCAGAGAAAATGGGATCATCCCATCTCTGCCATGCAGCAGTCCCAGAGAGGAACAAGTCAAAGCCAGGACTGCCTGCCCTCAGGTGCTGTCTCCTTTGGAGGCAGACGGGGAGACCAATGACCTTCTCCAAATTGTCAGGGTGTTTTCTTTCCATTGAAGATAAAGCATACAGGCATGAGTCCCATTAATTCAGGCAGCAACGTCTTTTGCCATCCCATAGCATCCAGCTGTTAAGGGAGGTTGCTAGGGAGATGGGGCTGTCCTATCTCTGAATCCCCAGGAAGCATAGCAGCTTCCTACGTAGGAATGAAAAAAATCAGTAGCTCCATAGTGCAATACACTCTCTCCCGTGTAGAAGCCCATGATCTCATGTCAGACAAGACATCGGCATAATCAATATCATAATAAGTATCTTCCTCTGCAGCCGCTGCAGAAAACGTGCTGCATTCCAGATACTAGCCTGGACAACATCTTACGTTACTCTGTCTACCCTCTCTTCTCCCCCAGGCTTGTTTGGTATAGAAGAGTCCATTGGAACAATCATCGGGGTTGTGGCGGCCGGTATCGGAGGCGTAGTGGTGCTGATCATTGTTTTAACGCCGCAGCTGAGGAGGTGCGTCCTCTGCGTGAGACAAGGCTCTCGCCAGGGTAAGGAACACAAACCAAAACCCGGAACCCCTTTCGAGAAAGCTGTCCCCCACCGCCCGTTTCCAAGGACACCTTTTTTTAAAGTTCAGGAGGAGTTAGCCATTTACTTACCTCTGGTCAGACACGGGAGCCGGTCCAGGAAATTAGCAGTGTGGATGCAAATCTTAATAAGGCTGGCTCTATGTTCCATCTCTTTTCCCAACAGTTTTTTGTTTATGTGGGGTAGAGCTTCATGCACGGGCCTAATGAGTTACCTGTAAACAAAACAGTAGGATCTTCTTTAATTGTCACTTCCTGCACAGAGTTGTTCAATGGGATGCTGCTTCTTTTAAAAACATCCTGGGTCTCCGGTTCTTTTAGGTTCATGCTGAAGGATGGTTCTTCCTCCCACCAGCTCTGTGCTTACATCCGTATTCTTGTAATGCTCGGGCACAGAAAGCCTGTGATGGGCTAAGAGTGTGTTTGGGGTGTGGTTTGTAAAACCCAGCAACACTTTTATTAGCTCAGCTGATGAGGTTGGGAAAATGAGATGTTTTTATCACACACGAACCAAAGAAACGACCCGAGAAGAGGCTGGTGTACCCCAAAACTCACCTGTTTCTTCCAGCTGTGTCAGCTGGTCTGTTCAGAGTAGACCGACGCCAGAGGCTGGATTTCAAAACAAGCTTAGTTCCATTTAGTGCAACCCAGGATGTGGCCTGCGGTTCCCACCGAGCTCAGCTGGCTTTTTGCTTCCAGTGGGGACCCGTGCGACTCGGCATCTCTGCTCCCGGCATCCAAAAATCTTGCTCGGCCGGCTGAAAAAAAATAAGGGATGAAGGCAGAGCTGCCCTTGCCATTCACTGGGGCGCTGCCGCCACCTGATGGCCAGCCTGGCGGGGACAGGGACAGGGACAGGGACAGGGACACGGCCAGGAGCTCTGCCTGCCTTACCGGGAGGGTCTTCCAGACCTTGCGAGTAGCGCAGCCGCCCCCCTCGCTGCCCACACGGCATCATCCCTTTGCAAACCCTCTGCAGCAACAGAGTTCACAACATCTTTACTTGCCAGAAAGCCTTGGAAGAGTTTATCGTGTTGCACTAACTCTGGCTCGCTCTCTCTCCTTCTCGCTCAGCGTAGCTTAAGGTGCAGCATTACAGCAGGCGCTGGAAGATGCGGAGGCTACACGCGGAACAACTTGCGATGCTCCGTAAGCCAAAACCAGAGCTCTAGATGGAATAAAAGCTTTTGCCCCAGTACATGATGTCTTTGGCATTTTTATTTCTGCTAGTCTGTTTCTTTTCTCCTGCAGCTTTCACAGCCACAGTGGCACATTCAGCATCCTCCTGCAGCCAGGAGCAGAACCGCCTTTTGTCAAGGGATTTGTGTTACCACCTGCCAAAACCCTACTTGGTTTGGCCACATATGTCTGAATCTAGACTCCGATGAGGTGCCTTGGGTCTTTCCCTGCCGTTACTTCTTATTTTAAAGGTGGTACCCAAGTTTGTCAGCTGTGCTTCAGGAGGGACAGACGGATCCTGACCTCCCCGGGGCCCTCACCGACTCAGGGAAACCATCTGCGAACACGGACTGGAGGAAATCAAGTGTGTTCCAGCTGGAGTGCAGGCAGAGTTCCCATCTGCCTCTCGCTATTAGAGGCTCTTGTCCTGTTGGCTTGCTCCAGCCTTCAGGCTGTAAGAGCCAAAGTCGGCCCACTCAAACACAGAAAATGGGCTTCCTATGGCTTTCTACTTTCCGTGACTGAAAGAAATGGGATTTTGGTTTACTTTAGCTGGAAGGAACCATAGTATTTGCATATAAGCTCTAATGTCCTTAAAAAAAAAATGAGAGAGGAAAGATTTGCTTACGTGACTAAAGTTACCCGCAGCCTGTTTCCTGATGTGGTTCCCAGGTAGTCGGTGGCCAGGGATAAGCCAACACCTGTACAGGAGAGCAGCGTAGCAGCTCTGACACGTGTGTGGCAGGTAGGAAACACGTTCTTGTGCAATGTGGGGAAGTGCCAACTAGTAAAAGTCGGAAAACCTTGCTGGCCGGGCAAAGGCAACAGCCTGGTGTAACTCTGCTCATCTTGGGGTGTGCCTGGGAAGTGTCCCCCGTGCTGTGAGGCAGGAATAAGGGATGAGGGACAAGAGAGCTGGCTCTGTAAGCAGAGAAATACACATCCTGCAAGAAAGGATGGAGCCCCACCTTGGGCCAGACTCTGCTTTTCCTTTGGGTAGGACGCAGAACTCCTCCCAGCACAAATAAGGAGGCATCCTCCCTCTTTGATGTCCCCACTTCTCCTGCAGTTCTAGGAAAATAAAGTGGGTCACTCTGCTTCCAGACTGGCACCCCTCGGATTTTCCAAGGCAACATATCTTTGAAGAGAGATGTTGAGGTTTTGGGGTTTTTTTACAAACAAGTCCAGCAGATATTTTCCAGATCACGTGCAAAAGTGTGCGAGCTGAAGGTCAGGCAACGTGCAAGGACAACAAAGCCATTTGGCGCTGGGTAAGGAGTTCTCACTGCGCTTGCAGACTGAACCCGCAGTGTCTGCCGAGGCAGCAGTCAGAGCAGGATCTCATCCTTACATCAGTGTGCGTTTCCCTGTCTCTCCTCCCCATAAACCCTGACCTGCTAGAAATTCTCTCACACCACTGTTAGCTCTGGTAAAAAGGGGTAACGTTTTTATTGCGGCACCTTCAAATTCAAAGGGTTAGAAGAAAGGTCCCAAGAAACGACTATTCTGGCCCCCTGTATCTGAAATGGCAAGTGGGATGGGTCTGTCCACACAAGAAGTCCGGCCAGAGGATGAAGTGTGGGTTGTACGGGGCTGCTCCCCAGCACTTGGCTGCTTCTTGGTCACACAGGCACACCATTTTCTCACACCGGTCTGTCAGGTTATCTGCAAAAGAAAATGCGAGCAGAGGATGAGAGTCTGCATTGGAGGAAGGCAAGAAACAGTTGTGAGAGGAAAAATTCCTTAATAGAACACTTCTCAGGGAACAGAAGCTGTGGGAGCAGGAAGAGAGAAGAAACGACGTCTTGTGTGTGGATCTGACGCTCCCCTGTCCTGTTTCTGACAACAGGTCTGACCTTAACTGACCAAGAGCATCAGAAAGGAGCAGCTACCTGTAAACTGGCAATGCTTATAAAAACCTGCCCAGCACAGAGCGCTCCCATCTCGAGAGCTGTGTGAGCAACGGGGGTTTAGTTCAGCGGCCAAAGACAAAAAAGAAACTTAAGTTAGCTTAGCCTGAGCTAAAAATAAGCCATTTTCCCTCAGTTAGTTAATTTCCCTTCTAACTCCTCCCCCTGCAAATCAGACCAAGTTCAAAAGAAGAAAAAAACCCGCTGCTCTGAAAGGAGGAGTCTCCCAGAGGGACATTGGGAAACCTGAGGACATCTGAGCACCCACCGGGCATCCTTCACTCATGCGCTGTGAGTTGCGCTTGCATCTCTCTGATCACAGCGGAGGAGCCAAGGAACTCCGCAGCGGGGTCAGGTACCTGATTTTCATGAGTCAGCAGCTAACAAGCTGATCAAAATCCTACGTATGGAACTATTTATAGTGAAATTATATGACTACATGGCCAGGTGAAGACTATGAGGGACGTCAAAGCAACTAACTCAGGTAGTTACACTGCAAATGACTGATTTGGGGTTAACGAATCCCATCCTGCCCATAGGTGGTTATATAAAGCACGGTGCCTTCTTTATTTGAGGCCGCTACTACAGATTATCTAACACCCACCAAACCCTGCACCAGGCAAAGTTTAAAGTGTAACTTTATGCCAGTGGATGGGGACTTTGCTCCAAAACCAGCTGCAATGAGTATAGGATTCAGATTTCACTGGACTTTGCTGGATCAACCCTGTACCTGAGAAATAAGAAGAGCCTGTATTTCTTAAGCTTTTCTGGAAATATCACTTGTTTATCAGTAAAATGTGTTTCAAGGGTTCCACTGATGAGGGCTCAGCGCTAAGTCCATTTTTTTCTTAGCTACCCATCCTGCCTGACTTGGTCCTTGCTCCCCTGCTCCTTGAGTTCTTCCTATGCTGTGCCATCCACTGTCCATCTAAAGTGAGTGGAAGAGTCCGGCTTGGCAGTCATTTCTCTTAGAAAATTAGAGCAGAATATTGGTTTTGACCAGCCCCCCAAAGCTTACAACCTTTTCTGTATTCCAGATATTTATTGAATGGAATTTGCCTACATATCTGAACTGAAAAATATGGTTTTGACAAGTTTTTTCATTCCACAAACAAAACTGCGTAACAGCGGCAAAGGTGGGGAGGAGGAGAAATCCCAGATAAAATGAGCTTCTATGTCATATCCCTGAAAAAAGTCTGTGTTGATGATTCAGTGCCAGGCAACAGGCCTTTATTTCTTCTTGTACAGGAAGGACAGTGCAAGCAGTTCTGCTTCTGATGTTCCTGGACATCACTACCCTATGCCCAGCAAGCATGCCTGGGAAGGTAATCCTTCATCCCTTCTGTTTGAATTCCATCAGACATTAACCTTCACACCTCAGTAAAACCTGCCGTGCTGTAGCCTGAGGTAGGAAATTTGCCTTCGGAGCGTGTTTCTGTTGTTCCTCCCCACGAGGCATGTCAGGGGAAGTGACGCCTGCTGAGGGCTTGTGGAGAGCAGCTGAGGGATGCTGATGGATGCTCAGGCCTTGCCTGGCCATCAGCTAAGTGATCAACGGGGTCTGTTTAACTAAATACTTGTTAGCCAGGCTGGAAGCGCTGCAGCCGAGTGCACTCTTACGTGACATACATTGCTTATGTCTCATGGGCTCGATGGTAGGTCTCACATCTGCAGCTGGGATTGTGCCTCCACAGCAGAAAGAAACGGGATTTTTTTTTTCATGTCGAAGCAGCTAGCAGAAAATATCAGTCAGCTATGGAAATAGGAGTGAGCGAGAGAGAGAGCAGTTACACCTTAAAGCAAGACATTCCTTAGCCAGCACTTCGTATTTCATAGGTTGTCCTGGCACTTGGAAAAGAGCGACTGCAGATACGCTGTGCCACGTCCCGTATCTGCTGGCAGATTTTCAGCTGCTGGAGAGGCTGAGGATTGCACCGGTAGGATATGGTCTGCTGACAAGGTAGGAATTGTCTTCTGGAGTTCAAGCAAGTAGCTTTGACGGCGTGGGGACAAGTTTTATTCTCGCATGTTTCTCTTCAAACTTTCAAAGTGTTCCACAATGGATTTTACCATCGGGGACATTTTAGAGACTTAGAAACAGAAGTGACAAATTCTAAGACTCAAGTCATCTGGTGTATGTCAAAACAAACTGCTGCGAGCCACCGACGGGCTGTGACTGTGCAATTGAAGACCTCCTTGTCTGGGTACCAGCTGTAGAGCTGAGCACAGCCGACTCCTGCTGCATGTCTGCGGTGCTCGAGAGCGTTCAACTCCGCAGGTTTCAAAAATCCACGATGGGGCCCTCGGGCTTCAGGCTGGAGCCCCACGTGAGGCAGAGGCAGGCTGGCACCCTGTTTAAAACCTGTCTTATGGACAGGCATAATAGCGTGGCTCTTCTCTAGCAGTAGATAATTGGGAGTAAAACAGTGAATGGTCCCACTGGAGGGAGGGCCAAAACTGCCCTGGGAAGACAACCCCTGCAGAAGTGGTCGCAGGCAGACCACTGTGTTGGGAAGGTGTTGGGAAGGAGCAGGTGTGCTGAACGTGGGTGGGCAGAGAGGCTCCGGAGCGGCATCGGCACCCTTGCCAAACTGAGATGGCTTGTCGGCTCCCGCTCCTGCTGCTCTTCAGCCTGGGGAGGACTCAGGCTACCTGGGATGGGTGGTGCTGCGGCCCCAGCCTTCCCCCCACATCCAGCTGGGGACTCCTGGCAAGCCTAGTGATGCAGGCAAGGGATGGGCAGAGAGCTCAGAGGAGACTGATGCTGCCCAAAGTGGTCTGAAACCAGCTCATCATATACAGACCTCCCCCTGGGGCCCACAAAGCTCTTCAGTCAGCCCAGCACCTGCGGAGAAGGGAGCGAAGGGAACGCGAGGCAAGCGAGGATTTCCTTACCGCACCGCACGGCGTTCTGCTCGCAGACCCACCGGTAGCGCTGCGCCTTGGGGCTGCAGCCCTCCCGCTCCGCCTTGTCGTAGCAGCAGTCGTGCCTGTGGCAACACCTGGGAGAGAACAAAAGGCAGAGGTTGGGCACCCTCCTGCATCCTACGCGTTTTGCTCGGGGGTGTTTGCCTGTACCCCAGGAGTACTTGCCATCGTCTGTTGATGAACCTGGCGTCTCTTTGGAAGTTCACATGGCTAAGGAGCTCATTAATGCCGTATTTGTTCCCATGACCACCGTGCTTCTTTCTCTGAGCTTTTGCCCTCAGAAAGGCGGGTGCAGTCAATACAGGGTAATCCCACCCCCTGAAACGGAGCTGAAGCATCACTATGAGGTGTGTGATCGTGGCTCGCCGCTTTAGGCTTAGACCCATCCCAAAATTTGGAGTTGGGCGGGGTTTTTGAGCGTCACCAAGCGGCTTCATCTCTTCAGTTCACCTGGACCTGCCACGTGCTCTTTCGCCCATCCAGTTTCTGAGGCTACAGACTCATCAGCCTCAGCAGCAGGATGCGTATCAGTTAACTTCAGATCCCTAAAGGTAAATACCTATGTCCAAGGCATTGATCTACCCTCCCTTTGTGCATGCATGAGCCACAGTTCATATTACCGTACTACAGAGACCTAACATAGGTCTGAAACATGGCATTTGAAGGTGCAATGGCTTTCCATTGACCATAGAGGGGGCTGAGGGTGACTAGCTCCACTGATGATACATGTCCGACAGGCTAGGCACTGACATAATTCCCACCATCGATTACTTCAGAATTTATAGAAAACTTGACCCCGCTTGAATTTTATTTTGGTAGTTTAGTGACTCAGAATAGGTCAAGAAAAGATTCAGCCCTTTGAGAGGTCCTCTGCCAGGTAACAAAGGTGGTTTCAGCAAGAATGAGAGGTCAGAGGTTGGAGTCAGAGGGTGCTCTCCTACACTTCCAGCAGCTGCCCGTGAAAGATCACGGGGACGCTACAGAGAGACCGCTCTACTAGCTGGGGAGCATTGCGGCAGGCTGATCTTAGGGGCAAATGAAGAGCAGACAGCTTCTAGAGAAGTCATAGAATCATAGAATTGCAGAATGGTTTGGGTTGGAAGGGACCTTAAAGACCATCCAGTTCCAACCCCCCTGCCATGGGCAGGGACACCTTCCACTAGACCAGGTTGCTCCAAGCCTCATCCAGCCTGGCCTTGAACACTTCCAGGGATGGGGCATCCACAGCTTCTCTGGGCAACCTGTTCCAGTGCCTCACCACCTTGGAGTCCTAGGTGTGAACCTCTTCAGGAGGTTGCTGAGCTGGCCAAAAGGGAGCATGGCTGTGCCAGGGCCCATCGATTACCAAATCCAGCTCAGGACCTTGTTATCTCCAAGGCCTGAAGCCGGTGACCTGAAAAACCAGTAGAAGTCTGAGATCCACCATTATATCCCCCTGTAACAGTGGAATAACCTTGCAAGAAGAATAAGGTCCCTTGTGCAGGAAGCGGGACTAGGGACCAGTTGGGAGCTGCCATAACTTACCCGAGAGCTCAGGAGCATAACGACCCTCATCACCTCCTGCTGCAGGAAGATTTTGCCCTTTTAGAGACTGGTTTATGGATATGAGAGCTGGTGGGCTGTGTGAGGTGGTAAGGCAGAGGAAAAAAAAGCACAATTTTTGAAGCGCAAAGAAGAAGATCCACCACTGACACAAATCCTAACAAAATCCCTGGAACTAGATCAGGTGAATCGCGCGAAGGAGACGCGAGAATCAGACCAGCCACATCAAATTCAGCCTGCAAGTAACTCGCGCGATTACACACAGCCTGAATTCAGTCCAGTGTGCTTTCCCTGCTGACTGAGCTCCTGATTTAGTAGCTAAAGTAGCAATTTCATCCCACAGAACAGCCTGCAAACTAAAAGACTTCTTTTTATTTTTTTGCCTTGGCTTGCAAAGATAAACCCTGTGTGACGATTACAACCAGACTACTCACTGCAGGGTGAAACCTAGAAATGTAAGTCAGCAGGAGCAGACTAGTATCGCCCTTCATGCCAGCTCCTCAAAGGACTTCAGAATGGGGCTAAGGCCTTTGGGATACATGTATCTAGAGGTTTTCCCATGAAAGTTTACAGCAATTGCTGTAACTTAGCTTATTCAGCCCACGGAACGGGTTCTGTTGGACACGACAGCAGCAACAGGCTGTGGGTCAGATCTTTGCTGGTCCAGTCACACCTTACTCCTGGGCTTGTCCTGAAGAGGTTAAGGCCAAAGGAGAGAAGAATTTGCAGCTTTGTGGGAAGTGTGAAAGCCTCAGCTTTCTCCAACGTTTGAGTCTCTATGCAACGTGTCATACGGACATACAGGGATGTCCATATCCCCTTACAGGGATGGACTAGGGCACTGAGCTACAGCTGGGGCATGTGTCACCTGGAGGAGTTGCTGTAGCCCAGGGCACCCTGGTTAACACATCTGAAGCTGCAGCTTCAGCTTCCTCAGGGCAGGAATGGATGGAGAGCAGAGCAGGCCCATCAGCGGTGTCTCGTACACAGAGCACAAGAGGCCACGGTGGAGAGCCACGGATCAGGCTGAGCTGAGGTGGAGTGCCAGCTAGAAATCGTAGGGTTTGTGAGGTCTAGGGGGTGAGTCGAGTCAAATTGGTGAAGTTGATGTCAGGGATGGAGGAACAACGTGAAGTAGATGTGTAAAGGGAGGAGCTAGGAGCCTGTGTGCCAAGGGAATGAAGTTGCTCTTCGTGGAGAGCCAGAGGGAACAAGCAGAAGAAGAGGTAGGAGAGGTGAGAACAGATCTTGTAGGGGGCAAAAGACGGTCTGTGCATCAGGCAAGGACAAAGAAATGAGCACCAGAGAAGTGTGCTAGCTAACTGTGAGACCTCGCTGCTCCTTAGCTGGCTGGGCAAAATCAGGGTGACTGCATAAATTCTGCAGGACCACAGGATTTGGGGCATGGTTCTGCTTCCCCTTACACCAGTTGCTCCCAGTGACGCCCATCACTGCAGCGGGCTGACTGGTAGCTCACACCAACGCAAAGCGGGACGACTTTGGCTCACGTGTTACAAACATCTTCTTTGGACGTGCCGAAAGAACTGCCAGGGAGTGAAGACGTAGGAAACCTATCGTTGGCCTTGGCCACCTTCAGATGGCCCTCTCCCACCTGGAAATGCCCTTTCCTGCACCTGGGTCAGAGCGTGGTGTTAAACTTTCGACACCCTGCTAACGCTCGGTCAGACCAACGCGAACAGAGCCAGGCAGAGCACGGGTCAACAGGTATGGAAAACAAATACTGCCGTGTCAGCTAGTTAGTAAGCAACCTACTCCCCGTGTCTGGGCTACAAGACAGCCCTAATGGCAACAGACAGCCCCGGCTGGGATCAGCGGCCAGACCCCTGCCGCTGAGTAAATGTCATTAAGGTAAGAATTTGTCACGTTGTGTTTGTCACCTTAACAGCGCAGCCACCACTGCGTCCTTTTGTTTGGCTTGAACTCGGCAACCGAGGGGAAATCTTACACTCGTCCTTATGAGTTTGCCAGGACCTAGACGAGCCATGTGTGCCACCCTGCCTTTCACAGCATTCGGTGTTTTCAGGGAGACCCTGAGCACCTTCGGTCCTGCTTTGCCGCAGCAATCTGGAGGGGAACAGGAAGGGGCAGGAGAAACAAATCTATCGACTTTACACGGAAGAGATATCATTGCGTCTTGAAGTGATGGGGCCGTGAGAGTGGAACAAAAGGGAAAAGGTAATTACTGACAACCCACATCAAAGTCAGTGTGTGGAATAAACCTGATAAAAGCTTACCCACTGGATGGCTTTTTGTCTTTCCCCATAACAGAGAGGTGCTTAGAAGCTCTCTAGTCCTGTCTAGACAGACTCACTGAATTACTCACGAGAAAATGACTCCTTTGTAAGGGTCTCAGTAACAAACCCAGGAGTGTCAGGGGGGTGAGTAATTTCAGACGGTGTTTGTCACTCGCAACCAGTAGTTTTGTCACTCCGCTTCTTTCTTTTTTAGCGTGGCAGCTGTGGAAAACAACATGGTCACTTGGACAGGTGTGGGACACTCAGCCACACTGCTCTGTGGAGTCACTCTCACTAACAGGTAGCGCAAGATTCCTCTAGCAAACACAAAAGGAAATTTTTAGGGGTAAATCTAGTGGGATATTGCTGATTTATCCTAGCTAAGAACTTAAAACCTTTCTGGGTTTGTGGTTTTTGAAGTTTTTTTTAGCCACGCACTGCAGCTGAGGAACAAAAGCGAATGCACTTAAAGCATCAAGCTTCCTTTTTACAAACTCCCTGGTATTTTGAGGCATTTCCAGTTGCAGAGCCCTCCTTTTCTGTTGTTAGGATAAAATCCACATCCCACGGAAATCGAATGGCAGCAGAAACACTGGCTGAGGAACATACGGCCGTATTTCACTCTCTCTCTCTGCTTTTCAGGACTGCTGACCACTCGCACCTCCCGGAATCACCTAAACCTGAGGGTCACCCAGTGGTTATGGAAAACAGGTTTTAGGTGACTCCAGCCCTTCCGTAAAAGTACTCCAAATCAGTGAAGTCGTGCTTTACTTTAAAGGCCTGATTATGAGAGTTGGTAAAGGTCTAACAAAGTTAATGAACAGGTTTATAGACGCCGCTGTAGGTGGTGATAGTATGGAAAATTAGAAGAAGTTTCTACACCTGAGAGCTATGGTACTTTGTAGACAGTTACTCATTATTTACAACTCCCATGTTGACTGTTTCGTAGACGAAACGTTTCATAGGTACAAACTGGGGATGTGAAGAGAGGGGTTTGGAGGGAAACATCATGGTGTTAATGAAGACATCTCCTCTAGTTCTAGGGGACACTTGCTCTTTCATGCCCACAGAGGAGCTGGGCTTTAACACTGGTGTCTTTTCTTCCTTTTTCTCCTTTTTCTGTCCTGCCAATTCAGCAGAAGCCTGGTTTTGTACCAGTGTGAAATGTCTCCAGCAGCCGGATGTTCTGGAAAGCTTGGTTTTCTTCCCGGTGAGCTGCAAGCTGCCTTCGCCCCTGTGGAAAGCAGCGCCTGCTTACCGGTTAACACTCGGGCTGCTGTCTGTAGATGAACAGATAGACTGGTGTGCTCTGCCTTTGAGGTTTAGAACCAGACAAGATTGCAAATAACGGCCTCGGAGCAAACACGAGTCCATCTGCTCAGGATTTACATGTATGCTAATCGCAAAGTGGGAGAAGGAAACCTTGGATTGCAACGCCTCCTGGACTCATTGCTTTTAGCCTCAGGGATAACAAGCACAACACCTTCCCCGCTAAAAAACAACAGGGGAAATAACACCATGCTCTACCCTGTTGTCCTTCCTTGAGTCAGGGTGAACTAGCAGGCAGTGAAGGCAATAGGTTTGATTACTCCTTGCAATGATCTGGATTTCTTCCAGAGGATAAACAATGATATTCCCATCACTGCCATTTTCAGGACCTGGATGAAATAACCCTCCAAATACCTTGGTCACTCCCCCCCCCCCTTTTTTTTTCCAGACAGGGCTTACTCTTTATGAATAAACATGCAGCTATTTCAAGGAATCATATCCTGGTTCCTCCTTTGCCCTCCACCCCACACAGTACAAGGTCCCAAGAGCTCTGCTGTCACCCAGAAGGTGGTCAAACCCACGTTCAAGCCCCAAGCCGTACGTGGGCCCTCACTCACAATTCCCTGGTGCTCATACAAACTAAGTTCCCCTTCCATGAGGCAGTAACAAATCCATGGAGTCACAGGAGGATGTACAGGGGAGGCTGGGGAGACCATTGTTTCTGGACACATAGCTGAGGCTCTTCTTACCAGTCTGTTTTGTCTTTAGGCCAGCCTTGTCCTCCCAGTCCACAGTAGCATCCATAGCCAATATATGCCAAGGGAGACCGTCCTGTGCCACACGATATAGCTCCTGCCAACTCAATGATCCCTCGGGTGTGCAGTGAATGGGATTTTCCCAAAGCGCCTTTCCAAACTGCAAAGACAGGACATGGCTTCACACAAGGGTTAAAGACGCCTGATGCTGATTTTCTTCAAGTCCTTAAAGGGGGATTTTTTTGGGTTGGTTGGGTGCAGCCGTGACAATCCAATCAGCCATGACATTCGCCCTGCAAAGCGGGCCCTGCGGGGGCCTTCCCTGGGGGCTGGGCTGTGCAGAAGGCAGGTACAGACATACCCAAGCAGGGCATTTCTGCAGCGGGAGCTCAGTTCAGGCAGGACTTACCAGCTCTGGTGTGCTACCGCATGCTGGCAGCTATACTGCACCCGGGAGCAGCGCCTGCTTCTGCACATCGCTGAGCCAGAGGCGTTAAACCTTGCAGGGTCTGTGCCAGCACCACGCAGATCCAGCTGGGCTTCCAGAGCTCCCAAACCTGGGAAAGCTCACTGGCTATGCTGCGGTCCCGAGTGGGACACGAAGCAGCAGAGGACCGGCACACAACCAGACCTAAGCCGAGCTCTACGGAAAAAAATGAGGTTTCCGTGTAGCCCAAGATATCTTATCCAAGTTTCCTCTGCTATTCCAGATATTTTAATCCATTCTCCAGATGGCAAAGAGCTACTATTAATTTGTGTAGAGGGATGGCTACGCGCCCCTGAGCCCTTAATGTATACTTTGCCAAGGACGGAGGGCCTACGTTTGCCAAGATCCATGTATATCGGCTTTCTTTTGGGTGTTGGAATAGCGCTGGCAACATTTACATCCGCTTCCCTTAATACATTCCATCGAAGTCGTAATGTCAGGTTGCCTGCGTTAATTTGGAAAGACTGAAAAAAAGGGACGTCTGTGTCGGCTGAAGTGCGCGGGTAGCCACCCAAACCCATCGGGAGTTTTTTGAGTTACAAGTGGTTCAAGCAGCGTTGTGATTTCACACGTTGATTTGCAACTTTTTCAGAAACCACGGACTCCTGCCTTGCAGTAACTGTTACGGAAACCGAGGTGCCCTGCCCCTAATACTCAAACCACGGTGATGCTTTAGCTGCGAGCGTCGATGCTTGTCATGTTGACGATGGGAGCATTTCCTGCCTGGCTTTGCTGCGAAGGACCAAGCGCGCTTCGCACCGCTCCGTCCTGCGTGGCAGAGCTGCTCGCCAGCCCCGCCAGACCCCTCGTACCGAGCGCCCAAGCCCCCCCTCCGTCCCACCCCAGGAGCAAAGCCTGCCCGGACGGGGGGCACTTTGCAGCAGGCCGGGATGGAGAGGGAGCTGGGAACCCGCCACCGAAGTCGCTTTAGCACCTGCCCCCGGCTGCCGCAGCACGCTTGACCTCTTCCAAGTGCTGCGCAAACACGGACTAATTAATCCCCTAAACCACCCGAGGACTCAATACTATTATTAAAACAGTTGCTTTCCTTTTAAAACCTCGCCTCTAATCCCCTGCCTTGGGCCTCTCCCCGCATCTCCTGGGCTGGCTTGCCCTCCCAGCCTGATCCAAACCCCCGGCACGGACAAGGAGGGTCTCTTCCTGTGAAGGAGAAGGCAGGGCTTTGCTCCCCCTCTGCAGCCCAAGCTCCTCTCCCCCATCATTTTCTCCCGGTTGATGGGCGCATCGGGCAGTGCCAGCGCGGGGTTTTGCACAGCCTCCTTATGCTTCCCCGGGGCAATCCTTGGGGATTAAATGCACATTCCTGAAAAAAGTAACACGCTGCTCGCCTAAACACTGCTTGAGTGTTCAGGTTTCGTGCTAAAAACGCCTTCCCTCGTCTAAACAGCAGGGGCTCTGGAGTTGGGAGCGGGCTCAGCCCTCGGGGCACCCCAGGGGAAATCACAAGCGGTGAGCTGCTCTGGATTTCGAGTTTAACATCACGCTTTTGCAACCTGTTGCAATTTGCAGACCCTGAAAACCTTCCAGTGGAGACAAATAACTTCTTTGTAGGCATTCGGGCCTCCTGAGGAGCCACTGGCATTTTCGTTTGAGCCGCCTTTCGCTGACCTCTTAAGCCAGGACTGCGAGACTTGGCCGCCGGCTGAAAACAGCCGAGGCTGGTGTAAGGTAACTGCGCCTCGCCCAGAAGAAGAAAGGCCATTCTTCTTTTGGGGTTATCTCTGAGGATCAAGGGACTGTAATTACAGCACAGAGCTGCTCGTGCAAGCGGAGAGAAAGCCCCAAAGGTTGCCGAGTCCGAAAGACGGCACTTAGGGCTGCGTGCTCGGCGGGAGCTTGGAATAACGCAGGCACCCAGGTGTCCCCAGGTGTTCCCATTTCGTCCCTTGGGTTTTGTCATTGGTGGCCAAGCCAACGCAGCTGGGAAAGCCTTGGAAAAGTCTGAGTCTCTGGAGCAGCTTGCATTTAGCCCCATCTCCCATTAGGAGCGCGTCAGATCGTTAGCTCTCCCACTAACTTTCCCGCTGGACCGGGCAGCCTTCGCTGCAGCTTAGGGCAACGTTTTGGGGTGTATTGACAAACTGTGCTGCAGGTATAACCTCAGACCCGCCCGTTTAGTGTTGTGTTGCCTCTGTGTGTCGGGGCTTTATATTAGCAGACATTTATGGCTTTTTTTAGCGGGCTTCAAAAAAATTATTTTAAATTCAGTTTCACTGAAAACTGCTTCCTCCATGGTCACTGGTACAAAAAGAGGGTATTTCTATGAAGAAACACAGATGCCAACAACTTAGAAAACTAGCCAAAAAGAAAATGACCCGTGTTTATATATCCCCTGCTCCGTAAAGCGGCAGGGAAGCGGGCAGGCAGGCAGCTTGCTCGCACAGCCCCTTGCCGTAAGGTTGGAAGGAGGCGAGTAGCACCTTTTTTCTTTCCCCCTCGCTTGGCCAAACCACACCGAGGTGCCTGCTGTGAAGTAGGCAAAGCTGAGAGCGAGGGGAGAGGCTGGCCCGG